GAAGAATATCTGAAGGACAGTGAAGAAGATGCACTGAAGCTAGTACACCGTGAAGGCTTACCGAATACTGAAAAGACCAAACTGGCCTACAAGACAGACCAAAATGAAGAATAGAAAAGAGACATGGTAAGGCAAAGTATTACATAGCCAGCACACACACACACACACGAAACTAGCAGGCAAAACAGATAACAACAAGACCTGGCAATGGCTAAGAGCAGGGAGGTTGAAGAAAGACACAGATGAGCTAATTCTGGCTACACAAGATCAAGCTTTAAGAACAAATGCATATAAAGCCAGAATTGAGAAGACAGCAACAGACAGCAAATGCCGCCTCTGCAAAGAAGCTGAAGAAACAGTGGACCACCTGTTAGCTGCTGTAAGAAGACGGCACAGACTGACTACAAACAATGACATGACAAAGTAGCAATAATGTTGCATCGGAATATCTGCAAGAAATACCATTTGCTTGCAATCAAGGACTGGTAGGACCAGAAAACAGACAAAGTAACAGAAATTGAAGAAGCTAAAGTGCTCTGGGACTTTAGAATTCAAACAGACAAGCACCTGGCACACAATACCCCAGACTTAACAACTGTTGATAAGACAGACAAAAAGGTCTGGATAGGGGACACTGCAGTACCTGGAGGCAGCAGAATAGAAGAGACAGAACTGGAGAAAATCACAAAATACAAAGACCTGAAAATAGAAGTAGGCAATATAGAAGTGGCAAAAGAAAGCAAAGATAGTACGGACAGTAATTGGCACCTTAGGTGCAATCCCAAAATGTCTTGAGCACCCCTTGAAGACCATTGGCATTGACAAAATCACCACCCGTCCATTGCAAATGTAGCTTTACTTGGAACAGCTTATATCCTGCGGGGATACCTTTAACACCATCAAACAACCACATCTGCCTATTCCAGGTCCTTGGGAAGGACTGAATAGGTGGATAAAAATGACAAATCCAGTTTAAACATCTGGCTGACTGTGCAACCAACAATAATAATATGCTGGCCTATTCCCCTCTCCCCAATATACTTTGTAGAAGCAGAAGTAGAAGTATGTTTCTGAACACTTTTTCCTGTATGTTCCTGAGATCTTTGGAGGTCCTTCCCTAAGTGCGTTCTGATGCTGAACTCTGAGTAGCTGCTACAAGGAGAAGCTTCCCAACTACAAAGAAGCAGTACATTACTGTGCTCCATTTAAAAGTTTCTTACTAGCTGTGATGAGATGATGACACATCATTTTTGCAACCACACACTTTTCTCAGTAGCTGTTACCTTAATTGACATGTTGCTGGAATGGAGGAGATATATTCTAAAGAATGCCTATTGATGGGCACCAGAAACAGGATGCTGAAATTTTGAAACTTTATAGGGAGGGTAGAAGAAGAGAGAGAAAAAAATTCCACTGAGCCAAGAGGTAGTTGAGGCAAGAGATCTCCCAACTGCCTGAACATGCAGCCTGAAATCACTGGACTCAGCTCCTCCAATGAGCTTCTACTGTAAGACCTGATCAATCAGCAGCTGGTTGTGAACTGCCATGTAAGCCTTTCATGGAAGTGCCCCAATTCTTTCTGGCTGTAACACTGAAATACGGATCCAATTACAGCTGAGACCCAAGTTCCTAGTGATATCAACAGGCCTGTGATCCCCAAAGCTGAAGATTGCACACCGCAGCAACCAGCAGTTGATTAGACATCCTCCCCAAATTGGTCAAACCGACTTTGAAAATCAGTGATCACCACCACACCTTATGGCAGTGGCAATGTGTCTTGTGCTGAAGATCTTCTCTTTCGTAATAGGAAATCTCCCAATTCCCCCTACTAGACAGCCCAAGGAACAAAACGAATGGAGGAGGCGAACTTCCATCCACCATCAATGCTTTCCTTGGAAAAAGACACACCTGTAGCTATTGATCAAACATTTTCTATTCTCCAATTCTATCTCCAGAAAAAAAACTTCCATGGTTATAATTTGTTACCTCTTCTTGTTGTTACTAGACTAAAAAGTAATAATAATATAAAAGGAACTCCTCCCCTTAAAAAAAACAAACCTACAGATAAAAGATAAGGAACCAAAACCTGCAAACAGTTTTTAGAGGAATGTCAAGAGCAGGCAGAGGCATATCTCAAGCATCTCAGCAGGGGATGGCACTCAGCTGACCATGGCTGAGCTTAAAAAGCCAGGTAGAACAGATTTAGGTTTCCTTGGATAGGAGACCACCAGGAACTAGAATAGGTAGTCAAGCAAAACAAAACAGAACAATACATGGAAGATTTCCACATTATTGTCATGAAAATCACAGTCTCTACAAAGACATGTAGAGTTGAAATTGCCTTGAGGGCTTCTCCAGCAACTATATTTCAGAGGGCGACAGGATGCACCAATTGTTCTTATCACATGGAAGGTGAATGTTCAGACATGGTCGCATGCCATTTTTCAAGGCAATAACCAACACTTTTAATTTGGGCCCAGAGATGACCCAACGTCTAGGAGAGGTGGGAAAGCCATGGAGTAACAAATTCTGAAAATATGACATTGCAGGAATATTTTAGATTTCAGGACATTTCTAGAGCATCTGCAAAGACAAAAATAAGGTATCTCTTGGTGTCAAATAATCCAACCTCTGGAAGCACCCAGTGGAATTATCTGCCTACACAAAATGTATTTCTAAAACTACTCGGGTAATGAGGCTCATTGGAAAATCTAGCCACTCAATCTTGCTTCCGACATTAATCCATGGGACGGTCCTAGGCAAGGAGAGATCTCTCAGCCTTGGAACCCCAATGGTCAGGATTACGTCTTTATCCAAGCTACCTTAATGCACTGTTGCAAAGGTTACTGAGATAACGGAAGTGAA